ATAATTATGGGATCTGGCCAGCATGTTTTTCTGAAATTGGTTGAACGATCAGGTAGTCATTTCATGACTTCAACCCCAACTAAATGTGGTACCCTAGTTAGAAGGCCATATCACACCGAGTTCCTCTTACTCTGGACATGTTTGACATTCTGTCCCCTTCAGCTTTCTTCTGGGGAGTGAGTGTTCCAACCAGCCTCAAGGCAATAACATTTGGTTTACATGATTTGAACACATTGGCTGCTGCTGTGGTGCACCAGTCTCTCCTGGCTTCTAAACATGGAACTGTCTGGCATGCCTGTATCAAGGAGCATCTGCGTCCTTTGACATTAAAACTAAGGCTGCTTATCCCAGCTCAGCTGATGTCCATCTTTGGGACTCAGCACGGCATCTGAGTTACCTCACTTGGGATACAATGTTATACAGCCATAGAGCGCAGTGGGTAGACATGTGGTAGAGGTAAGGGCTGAGTGGGGAGTCTAGACGTCTGGCAGTATCTGTCTTTTGAGGTGGAAGGTAACTCGTGGCTCCGAGCTTCTGGACAAGCATTTTAGAATCCCCTATCTGTCACCTAATCCTTTCCCAGTGCCTTCTCAGTCCATCTGCAGTGAATGCGGTGAACTATGTACCCTGAAGGGGGAAATGCTGCTGCATATCATGCTAACAGACGCCACCCCACACCCTCGCCCCGTACCCTCCCCAACCCCGCGCCACTGCCCACCGCTGCCCACACAGACACCACCCGCACCCTTGCCTGCACGCCCCGCCCGCCACTGACTACACAGACATCACCCCACACCCCCGCCCCGTACCTTCCCCCCACCCCGCGCCGCTGCCCACTGATTGAACTTGATTAGATGCAGAGGGATTGAGTGGGCTGCCCTCCCCACCATCAGCCCATGTGCTCGTGGGAACCTGTGCGCTGTGGAGATGATGGCACCGTAACTTCCCCTCTCATCTGCTGCAGTCTGCTACTGCCAGATGCCTTTATAGACTCCTATGGAATCTGTCGATTCCCTGCTTGAACCGGATGATGAGTCTGAGACTTATTTTCACAGGAGAACACTCTAGTAAGACACTGGGGCTTTCCCAGGTCAGAATTAGAAGAATTGGAGCCGATAAATAGACCTTCCCTCCCTGGGGACGGTGAGATCCTTGAGGATGGGAGCAGAGCGATTCCAGTTGCCAACCCTGAGGGCCCCCAAGGGCTGACTCCCCATAGCTCCTCATTAGAGGCACATGCCTGCTAACTATTCTTTGTTCTTACACAACACGCCCTGGACATGGAGATATCCCAGGATGAGAAGGACACTTTGGTGTTCGAACTTGGACATTCAACCTTGTTTTTCTGAATTTGTTTCTCCATCTAGGAAATATGAAGAAGCAGAAGGTGAACAAAGTTCAATTTCATGATATCAAAGCTTTTTTTTTCTTTTATCATATTAGACAGGATCTGACATAGTACAGCTGGTCTCAACTCACTACATAGACAGCCAAGGAAGACCTAGAACTCCTGCTTCTCCTGCCTCCTCCGCTCCAGGGCTGGTAATACAGGCGTGAGCACCACACTTGGTTTTACCTGGTGCTGGGCTTGAAACCTGAGGCTTCACGAATCCAAGACAAGAGCTCCACCAACTGAGCCATGCTCTCAGCCCTGCATGGCTTTATTATTGCACAAATCTAGAATTCCATAATGTATTCCAAAATATATCCAATGTTTGTTTATTTTTATCAAGTACATATTTATAAAACCAGTTCAATCTTACATGAATATCTGTCAGACTGTATTCTTGGATTGAGTTCTCTGAAGAGGACAATCACTTAGTCTCATGGTATTATGGGATGGCCATACTGAGTTAAAGGAAAGGTTCCAAGATTCAGAGCCTGGTTAGTCCTAGCCCTCTCTGCAGAATTCAAAGAGGCTCCTGGCAAAGGTGGGGCTCTTGTTGGGGAAGCATTCTTCCCCGGGGGTGGAACCATAGCTTTGTTGAAAGCCAGCTCCCCTTCAGGGTCCACAAAGCCTGGGTCTTCTAAGCTGCCTGCGTTTGAGTCCCCCCCCTGCCAGGCCCTGCTGCTCTCACAAAGGCCCTTCTGCTGGAAATCCAGCTGCTGAGCGCTAAGCCAGACCACGGCCCCCACGTCTCTACCTTTGACATATGGCCGGCTTTGCTCATTCTCCCAGGGCAAAGCTGTCACAAGAGATTGTTCCCACTCTGGGTCCTACTTACCCTCGTTGTCCTCTCGGTCCATATCACACCACACCGTACCTGGTCCCCTGCCCGGTGTCCATTAGAAAGCTGATGAAATTGAATGTCACAGAAGTTTTGTTCTGTAGACTCTGTTAATTACTTTGACTTTTTTCTGAATAGCCCCTAAGCCTTCGGGATTAAGGTTCGATTTACTAATTTATACTAAGAAAGCAATGAGTAAAAATAGGAAGCCATTCCTGTGTTTTAATTTCTGTAACAGTTCATCTATCCCTGACAGAGAAAACCAGAAGCTTCTAGAGAAAAAGTGAACAAGATTTTTGCATTTCACTGTGCATTTTCCACGGAAACACAAAAGGCGAAATCAGCAATTCCCTAGTAAACACTTTTTAATTATAAAACATGTTTCTAAGGTTTGTTTTATTTTGATCTGTATGTGTATGACTGTTTTGATTGCATGTATGTATTGTGTCTTTAGTACCCCTAGGGGACAGAAGAAGACATCAGATCCCCTGGAACTGGAATTATAGGTGATTGTGCTCTGCCATGTGGGTCCTAGGGATCAAACCTGGGTCCTCTGCACGAGCAGCCAATGCTCTTGACTGCTGAGCCATGTCTCCAGCCCCTATAAAACATATCTTTCACTTGGAGATGGCATCTATGATTTTTTTAAAGTCTTCCTGACAGTCTTATGATATATGTTTGAGTCCTTTCTAATTAGTCTTCATAAGGCTGTATCATTTTTTAAAGTAATTAAAAATCTTAATGGCAATGGAAATTTAGCCTCCCTCTCTACAAAGTATTTGAGAGACAAGGAGAGTGGAGATTTGCATCTCAGCCCTGAGACCAGCCATCACCAAAGCCCACAAAGCTGCCACTGACTGTGGTGGGTGGGGAAGCACCTGCAGAATTCAAATGAGGAACAGGGATCTTGGGGACTGAGTGCTCTTCACAGAAGCAAAGAGTCCACTCTGTTCTGCTGTGGGTCTCCTTAGGTCACAGGTTCTGATGCAGTAAGGGGTGAGGTCCGAGATGTTGGCCGTAACGAGGTCCTGTGTGCTGCTGCTGCTGCTGATCTCTGGAGTGGGTTAGAGCACTTGTTGCTGAGCCTGAAGGTCTGAATTTGATCCCTGAGACTTGGAAGAAGAGAACCCACTCCCCACAAATTGTCCTCTGACCTCCATGCATATACCATGTCATCTGCACATGTGCATGTGCACGCGCGCGCGCACACACACACACATAATTAATAATAAGTTAATTAATTTTTTAAAAGGACTGTGATAATTATCCTGTTTTGAGTAGTCGTGATGGTTTTAAGGGATGTGTTTGAGAAAGTCAGTATGATCTTGAAAATCAAAGTGTCTTATAATGACAGTGAGTTCTGAGGAGACTTGTGTGTCACCAGTTGGGTGCCCTGAGAAGCCAGGACTTTATGGAGAGGTGGGAACCATCTGGTGTGGATGGAAAGCCCCCCAGTTTCGGTGTGTCGTGAAAGACCTTAATGTTTGTCCCTAAGATATCAGCTTGCCCTTAAAAGATAAGTATATCTTAAGGGTACCAGGATGGACTTTCACAGTCAAAATCACCTCAAGAGACAGCACATGGGCCTTCAGCCTGTCCTGACCTCTCAGAGAGTCCAAGTGTAGGGCTTTCAGTGAGGAATCATAATGGCAGTGTCTGGGAGCCTGAATCTATTTCAAGGTAAGACTGAGGTCTGGGCTGGGCGGGACACACTTGAAACTGAGAGGCTCTGAAAGATCACAGTCCCCTCAAGGCGTAGGTCACCTTGACAGACCACAGTACCCCAGGGCTCTGAATGAGTGAGGAGGTGAAAGTTGGATGGGGATATCAGAGAGTAATTGAGAACTCTGAGATGTGTGGAGATTTAGTGGTGAGTGAAGCCACTCATTCACAACTGAGTGAACCCAGGAGTGAGCTGGGGTCAGGGATGGGCCAGCAGGTGTGGGAGCCAATGTTAGGACTTTATGGAGAGTGTGGACGGGAATCACTTGTAGTGTTTGAAGGTCCTCAGACTCCAGTGTGCCCTAGAGTGGCCTGCTCTCCTAGGGTGTCAGGGAAACAGGAGGAACAGCACACGCCTGTGGTTTTTCCTCCTCAGAGTTTCCTGGAAACAGGTCTTTTGAGTATCGTTGAGACGCCAGGCCTTGTTCCTGGCCCTTCCTGCTGTCCTTCTCTCCAATTCCCCCTCTCTACAGGGGGTTCTGAGGAGGAGTGTCTTCGTGGGAATGTCTTCTCCTCTGTCCCCTGCCTGCTCCCAGGAGGGGGATTTAACAGGACAAAAGAATCTGGTCCCCTGGGAATATGAGCTCTTGGCCTCAGCCCCTGGACCCTCTAAGGGAGCACCTTCCCTCATCCGGCTTGTGATCCTCCCCCCAAGCCAGGGGCTCTGGTGACCAAGAAATGATTGGACAGGCCCATGGGGCCAGGAGGAGGTTGTTTCTCCAAGACTAAGGGAGAAAGACAGGTAGCGTGAGAAAGCAGAGTGCGAAGAGAAAACAGAATAGGGTCAGGGAGAAGGAAGTAGAGACAGGCAGAAAACTGGGCAAAGTCGAGAGACGAGGAGGAGATGTCAATCCAGAGGAAGAAGCGGGGATTAGAAAATAGTGAGTAGACTGGTATCTAACTACACACACACAGACACACACACACACACACACACACACACACAGAGAGAGAGAGAGAGAGAGAGAGAGAGAGAGAGAGAGAGGGAGAGAGGGAGGGAGGGAGGGGGAAGAGAGAGACAAAAAGAGAGAGAGAAAGAGAAAGAGCAAGAGAAGTTAGACTGTATAAGCAGGGAGACGAAAGGTCAGAAGACAGGATAGACAGACACAGAGAAAGACTATAGGAAGTCAGAGACTTGAGGATAGCAGGCTAGCCCATCTTTGGTTTGGGTGACTAGCTATGGAAACTCAAAGAAGGAACCAGCAGGAAAAGCAAAGGAAAGGCCGTGCCTGTGGTCGACCCCTGCCTGAACCACATGTGACCTCTGGGACCCTGATCTCCACAGTAGGTGAGTGAATCCCCAGGGTTGGCCTGGGTCCCTTGAAGGAGCAGCAGATGTGGATCCCAAAGCCTGTTCGGCTTTGGGGCAATGGTTTGTCCCATGGACGGTTGAGAGATGGGAAGCAGAACTGGAGCTTGTCAAGGCTTTGGGGACCTCAGGAAACGAGACAGCAGAAGTCCTTTGCTTCACAGATTGGGAAGCGAGGCCTTATCTGAGGGGGCTATGGACCCAGCACTTAAGGCAAAGGCAAAGTTGAAGTCTTGTTCTTTGCGCAAGGTGTTTTCTTCTAGGAAGGAGAGAGCTGAAGGAATCGGGGTTTTCCTCCAGGGGGCGCAGTTCAGTGCCTGTCTGCGGACTCTGGATACAGAGTGGGAGCCACACCCTTTGTTTCCCCGGGTCTCTCTACTCTAGACCCCTCCTTCCCTCAGTGCCTATCTTCCCAGGTGTCTCTTCTTCCCTCCCTCTCCCCTCTCCCACCCCTGTGGCTCTTAGACTAATTAATATGAGGGCTTAGGGAACCTTTTGGGGAGGAGAGGCAAGCCTTTCCCACGAGCTCAAGTTCCTGCAGGATGGTGGCAGGGCCAGGGCAGAGGCAAGAGACACATCAAGAAGTACAATCCGGAAAGGAGAATGCATTGTCTCTGTATAAGGGTCGGGGGAGGACCCTCCATCCTCCTGAGCAGGGATGGGTGACAAAGAAAGATGTATGACGGAGGTGCACGGGCAATGAAAACTGTGAGGGGCAAGCAAAGAAGTCCTTGCTAGGCAGCAAAGAGAATGCCCTCAAGGTGTGCCCTGTGAGTCATATGTGGGCCCGGAGGTGAAACACATACTGGAGGCGTGTAACCAAAGTAGAGACGCTGGAGGCAGAAGCAGTGGTTTTGAAATCTTAAAGAGTTCTTGTGGAAATCCCACAGGGAGTAACATCTCAGGAACTAAGTAGAACACAGGGACGGGCAACAGCGGTCCAACGACGGCTGGGTTGTCCCATTAGTAAGTGGGTCTCCCTTCATTTCCCTCCCTCCACAGACACGGGCCCTGAGGCTTTTAGGAGACTCTCTGGTCCGGGGCTGGGGAGACCTAAACTTTGCCCACAGAGGAGCCGTCCCCACTCCCGGCGCCGCCATCGCACCACCTTCAACCCAGCACAGCTGGAACAGCTGGAGTCAGCCTTTGGGAGGAACCAGTACCCTGACATCTGGGCTCGAGAGGGGCTTGCCCAAGACACTGGTCTCAGTGAAGCCCGAATCCAGGTGATGATGCACTAATATATTTGGGGAAGAACCAAACATTTCCTGGGTGCTCGGGGCACTGTCTGGGCATAATCATGGGACTTTTGACCCTAACTTAAAAATTTAACAGAATATAGGCTTCATCTACCAGTTAACACCTGACCCCAGCTCTAAGCTCATGTTGGTGGATGGTGATGGGTGCTGGATGTAGGGCTGGAGAGCTCAGGAGTTGAGCTTTTGTCCAGCATACCCAAAGCCTGTGGTCTGATCCCAACACCACACAAACAGAAAGAAAGTCAAGACTCACTCTCCAGCCTTTCGTATTGACACAAACTGCAGCCAACAGGCAACCCAAACTGTTCACACGTGTGCAGTCTTGCTTCTGAGAACAGTCTTACATTTCTACAGTCTTACATTTCCCTGAAGTCTCTAGCATAGAGTTGGATAGCCTGAAACACAAACCCTTTCTTAGCCCCAACCCCGCGCAACATTAATAATTCCCCAGTCTTCTCCCTCAGCCTCACTCTAAGGACACTTTCCTACTATCTGGGGAAGAAAACTACCACGGGATCAAATTTATCTTTCTTGTTGGAAGCTGCCATTTTCTATTCAAAGTTGTCAAAGTTGGGAGATGCAGTTTGGGAGTCAGTGTGAGGATCCCGCCTCAGCCGCAGCCTCTGGAAGAACTGTCCTTTCTCTAGAGTCACAGCAGGTGTTGACTTCCTGTCCTCGGAGGCCTGTGACAGTGCCACCCCTTCAGAACAGGAGCCCTCAAGTGACTTCTCCTCCCTCTCCGCAGGTCTGGTTCCAGAACCGCAGAGCTAAGCAACGGAAACAGGAGCGGTCGCTGCTCCAGCCGCTAGCTCATCTACCGCCGGCCACCTTCTCTGGCTTCTTGCCAGAGTCCCCTGCTTATCCCTACTCCTATACAACACCACCTCCACCAGTACCCTGCTTCCCTCACCCCTACAATCACACTCTCCCCTCCCAACCCTCCACAGGTGCCTCATTGCCTCTTTCTCCCCAACCTGAGGACTGGTACCCCACCTTGCACCCAACCCCTGCTGGCCATCTGCCCTGTCCCCCACCCCCACCCATGTTTCCCCTCAGCCTTGAGACACCAAAGTCCTGGAACTAAATGGTGACAAGGTCACCCTCTATCTACAACCCTTGTGAAACACAAGAAAATTGGGAGCTCCCTTTTCATCCTAAAGGGGACATTAGAATCATGGTGAGGGGCAGTTCAGGATTGGACATGGGAAAGGGTGGGGGATCTTGATGAACTGTCAACAGGGTAAGGAGTTGAGAGACTGAGGAGTTAACTGATAGGAGATGTGAGCTCAAAAGCTCCAACAGAGGCAGGAGGAGGGCAGCAATGTGGACGGGACCTGTGGATGCTGCTAGCCAGTGATGACCAAAGAGAACTTGAAGCTTCGCTCCTTGAGGTCCCGGTGGGAGAACCTGAACTAAAGGGGATCTCCAGAGTCACTCTGGAGTCCTCTCCTGACTCTTCCTCCATTTCAGCCGCCACGCGACTTGGGTCCTATCTATGTGCGTGTGACTTACCATCCTCCCTTCAGTCCTTCTCATCTCCAAAGCACCTTTGCTAATCTGCAAACCAAGGAAGGGCTGACACAGAGCACATGCAACCTGACAAGCTGGGTCTGCAGACGTCCGCAGCAGCTGCCTTAACTTAACTTTAAAGTCAGGTGTGGGTTGAAACAAACTTTGCTTGTGACAAAGGAACCTCGTGACCTGAGGCCAGATGGCCCACAGACAGACCATCCAAAGCTCATAAAAGGTCATTCCCAGGAAAGTATTTTTCTGAAGTGCCTTGGTCTCAGCTCCTTCCCCCAAAGAAACACAATAGAGCCTGGCTGGTGTTACCATTTCTGTTTTGTGTGACTTATGCTTGTTTTGTTTGTAACTCAGTTTTTGGTGGGATCATGGAAGGGCCTTTAGAAAACAGGCCTTCACAGAAGGATAACCATGGTGTTTGTATATTTTCTTATCTATCGGAAACGCCTGCAGTCAAAATTCCTGTGGGATGCTTCTCGATAATCATCTCATTATGGCAGACAAAAGGAAAGATTCTGACGCTATTCTCTAGACGCTCGAGTTCTGCAACTGGCCCTTCCATCAGTTACAGATCAAATATACTCTCTGTCAGATATGGCAGGTCATGATTATAATTTGAGTGTTTGGGAGGGTCTCCAGGTGAAGGGCAGGCTGAACTGTACAGTGAGTTCCAGGCCAGGCTGGGAGACCTTGTCTTAAAACAACAAATCCAAAAACAGTCTCAAAGAGTTACATGTGTTCTGAATATGTACAGCTTTTTATTGTCATTTCTAGCAATTCAGTCTAGCAACAATTTACATAGTATTCCATGGTATTAAGTCTTAGAAAGAATACAGAGGTATACAGGGTGTTCAACCTTTTGGTATTGGGGAGAAGACGTTCCTACAAATGTACTGGGAGGCATCCATAGTTGTCCAGGGACTCTTGAGGCCCTTGGCCTGCAGGTCAGATATGACAGAAATGCACTTGAGGGGATGTGCATAGATTATGCAAATAGCATGTAAATACTTGTAGTTGGGTCCCTGGAGAAGAGCCTAGAACCAATCCCACACAGATGCTGAGGGATGACCCCACTAGTCCTGAGTCCATCAAAAGTATTAGTTTCAGCACATCCTTGGTGGGTTTTTGTTTTTGTTTTTACCACTTTTTGTCAATTGAGAGTGATGTCGCTTCTACTCTTCGTTAAATTCTTTATTTCTAGAGAGAGAGGAAAGCTTTGAGATTATTGAAAGCTTCCGTTTTCTTCCTTTCTCTGTAGTCTGAGTTATCTATGGATTGATGTAGACATCTTTACATTGGTTCTTGAGAATGTTGGGGGTGCTACTTGTACATATGGAAACTGTTTTTGACGTTTGTTATTTGCTTTCTGAGGGTTTCCTAAGAAAGTTAAACCCCGATTCCCTAGACACCTATTGTTTGTAATGACTTAACTTTTGTTTTAAAATGTCTAGAATTGTTCCCATTTTGTAGAGCTGGTAGAAGTTAGAAAACAGTCATCTGGTTCATTTTCTGTGTTTCAGGTTATACAGAAGAACCCAGCTGATGCTTGTTGCTTTCACTGGCTTCTCCAGTGCTTTGTCCATCAACTGGGCAAAAATACAATGTTTTGAGTCCCCTGGAATTTAATTTACTATACACAGTAAAATAGTCGGTGTATGTTTCTCCGTTGGTCAGTGAGCGGGTTATTCCTGTATCATTTCTTTGATGGTATAGCTTTGCCCTCTGGCTTTGTTTTCATGCACGAGGTTCTTATGTGTACTGCTGTAGCCACCATGTCCTTTCTCCCTCTGTTCCAGTACCAGAACCAGAACCAGTGTGTCCAACAACTGAACTGTGAGAATCCTGGGTAACTTTTAAAGGTCTCTTAACCAAATACGAAGTGTGTTGTGTCATTTCTTTCAGACTTATGTGTCTCTCAGCAAAGCTGTTTGGTTTAGACTTACTTCACAGAGGCACAGTCTAATTCTGTGTTACAGGCTGGCCTTGAACTCACTGCGCAGCCCAGACAGGCCTGGAACTCTCAGTCTCCAGTCTCAGCCTCTTGAGTGCTGGGGTTACAAGAGTGCACCACCGTATCTAGTCCAGAAAGTTCTTTTGCTTTTTAAGACACAGCTTAAAGACTGTGTGTGTGTGTGTGTGTGCTTTTTGTATCTACTCTTTGTAACATACACACACACATATATAACTATATATAGGGATTTTATATATTTTATATGTGGGTGTATATCTAAATTATAAAAGTCTCCTTGGGAGAAGTTTCTTTTTCAAAAAAAAATCTTCAATCTGTCATATAATTATATAGCTTTAAAATATGCAGCTTTCATTTTAAAGTTAAAAATGATCATGGCATCATATGTTATAGTACACATACATACAGGGAAATATTAAGACCACACAGGAATAGCAAGCTCCAGTACCAGGAAGGAGGTGTAGGGTGTGCACACAGAGCCGCTCTGTTCTGTGTGGGGTATCTGTCTGTGCATTTGTCCTAAGAAGTTTTGAATGTGGAAATAACTTGTAATAATTGCCCAACTTAGTGAGCCTGCCTGTTGACAATGCCAATCATCATAAGTAACTGTGACCTCAGTCTATTTGCGATCACCAAAGCGATGAACATGTGCACAGCAGTCTTTTCCTGTCTGTAAATAAGATGCTACCATAGATGTGGATTCCTTATTACCTTCTCAAGATTAAGTCACAGACAACTTTCAAGAGGATTGTGTCCACCCTGCTTTTTGTTGCTAGCATGTGACCCCTCAGCCACCCTTGAAACACACAAGAAGTGGAGTTGGTTTGGTGTTTTATTGTGTGAGCAGCACAAATGCCACTGTGGCTTATTGCCAAAAAATAACTTTTGATAAGAAGTAAAATGACGACTCTCAGATAGAAAATAAACAAATTTCCTTGAACTCAGGATTAAGGTAGTCATGATTAAAATGCTGAGGCAAATTCTATGCCAGGCAAAGGAAGGACACACTTATGGATTAAGAGAGTGACACAATTATATGACCTGAAGCAGCAATGGCCTTTGTAAGTTGGGAAGAGAAGTCTATTGAAGTTCCAGGGATGCTATTTCATGTCACGATGAGCTATTTTTGCATCACTACACTCACGAGTCATAAAGTAGCCCAAGAGCTAGTAGCTTCAGAAACTCCGTGGAATCAAAATCAAATCACCCAGAAAGATCTTGAGGCATGGCTTTGCATCAAAGCATTTCCCCTGCATTTCCTCCTGTGCAGGGACTTTTGTGTCCATACGGAGGCTGTTCCATGGGAGGATCACTGCACGTAAGGCTATGTACAACTAAATCGTAAGGCAGGAGAGGAAGAAAGACGAGGTAAGATAAAACTGTAATGATTGCTCCCTGACTCATTTACCAAAAGTATGGTTTAGGGTAGCTTCAGTTTCAACAACAAAACAAAAATATTAGAATAAAAGTGGAATCAACTTTCCAATATGTTCAAATACGTAACATGATATATCTCAATGTCGTTAAGAAAAATGGGGTAAGTCAAACCAAAATTAGGAACTAGAAGGAAATAATGAAGATCAGGGTAGAAATCAGTGAAATTACTAGTAAAAGAACGCTGCAAAAACTCAATGGAACCATCAGTTCAATGGGGAAATAATTAAAACCATAAACCCTTAGACAAACTAACCAAAAGAAAGGGAATCAAGATCCAAATTAATGACACTAGACATAAAGAAGGGTTATTACAACTTATACCAATAAAATCCATGAAATAGTTAGAGAATATTTGAAGACTGGTTCTAAAAATCTGGAAAATGTAAAAGAGATGGGTAAATTCCTAGACACACATGATCTACCAAAATTAAATCAAGAGACTCCAAATAATTTTGACAGACCTGTGATGAGCAGCAAGATGGAACCTGCTATAGTCTCTCAATACAGAGGCCAGGACTCTGTCAGAAGCTACCAGGCCCTCAGGAAGAGAAATATCGAGTGAGGTGGGATCTCGGTGGTGTTTTCATTTGTATTTGCTTGCTGGTTAATGATTTTGAACACTTAAACATATTGATGAACTTGTATTTCTTCTGAGAATTCTGTCCCATTAGCAGAGAAGAAAGGGAGGAGGATGAGGCGGGAAGAAGGGCGGAATAGGGTAGGGGGAGGAGCCAAGCACAGGCACATCAATGAATGAAAAATGTCAAAATAAAACATTGGGTTTTTTTTTTCGTGCCCGTAAAATATTTAAAATAGCAGTTTAAAAAGAATGAAGAGAAACAGCCCGAGGACTGGGAGATGGTGCAGGTTAAGAATGCTTGCTACTGTTGCAGAGGACCAGTCCCCAGGTTCTGCAGCCCACCACTCTAACTGTAGGGGACCCAATGCCCTTTTCTGGCCTCCTCAGGCACCATGCACACACACGCATAAGTAAATATTAACCTTTAAAAGCCAATTTAAATAACTATTTTCCAAACAAACTGGCCGCTTTGATTACAAGAGCTAATTGTAGAATTGTAGAACAGGTAGGATATGATCCAGTGTGGAACACAGAGAGCGCCTAGAAACACGGGGGTACGTGGGAATGGGGAAGCAAGCCCATCAGTCAGAGAACTGTTGCATTCAACACCTAGTGCCCTGAAGTCCCATGAGATGCAGCATCCTTCAAGAGAAAACGAAGAAAAAGTTCCGGTTA